AACAAAAAGAAGGTGTTTTTAAGTGATTTGGAGTGTTTTTGGTACACCTTGGAGAAGAATGAACTCATTGAAGAAGTGTTGGTTGTATTGGAGCTTGTAGATACAGACTTTGTTCACCTTGATCTTTCTTCTACAGGTACAAAGTTTGAATCTTGATGATGAAATTGTTAGATCTAGCTAGTTTTGGGTGTTATGAGCTTTTGGTAACTTTAAGTGTATAAAGTTTAGATCTTGAAAGTCTGTGACCTTGTTATGGATAAAGTTGGCAACTTCATCCATCTAAACATCATTTTGATTTAGATCTGAAAGTTAGAGACTTGGACTTAATGGATTAAGTTGAAAAGATGCACTTTTTAGGTCCTTTTGAGATTTAAAGACTAGATCTTGTTTGTTGGGACCATTCTAATGGATAAAGTTGGAAACTTTATCCATTATTGATCTATAATGAACCATAAAAATATGATCTTGAGTTTTGTATGTAACCCATGCATGTGTTAGATTGTCTTATTGGGTTAAGAACATAGGGTTTTGGACATTAAGCACTTAATAGCCATGAAAACTCATAAAGTTGGAAACTTTATGACTTAGGACATCATTTTGGGCTTGGATCTGAGTCTTGGTCGGAAGGGCTTAATGGAATAGGCTCTTAATGGAGTTTTGGGACTGGGCTGCATAAGATGGGCGTACCTAGAGGTACAATGTGCGTACACGGTCAGTGCCCCGATTTTTGGTCAACATCAGAGCACACTAGGCGTACTCTCTTGGAATGCAGGGTGTACTCTCCTGGGAAGGGATATTGACTTTTGGGACCTTGACCATTGTCTTTGACTTTGACCAGGGTTCACCAAGTTTGACTTAAGGGTATTTTGGTTATTTCGAGCTATAGTGAAGCCTTGGTCTCTTTCAGTTGAATAGGTGACTTGTAGAGCCGACTTTCGAAGCAGAGATTCATTCAGATTGTTTTCAGGCCGAGAGGTTAGTTTTCCTCACCGTCTTTTGGGTCGAAGGCACCGTCTTTTGACCATTGTCTTTGACTTTGACCAGGGTTTACCAAGTTTGACTTAAGGGTATTTTGGTTATTTCGAGCTATAGTTAAGCCTTGGTCTCTTTCAGTTGAATAGGTGACTTGTAGAGCCGACTTTCGAAGCAGAGATTCATTCAGATTGTTTTCAGGCCGAGAGGTTAGTTTTCCTCACCGTCTTTTGGGTCGAAGACACCATGGCCGACCCATTGGATTGATATCCAGGTTTACCGTATGTTGCTATGTTGTAGTGATCGGTTAGATATGTATCATAGTTTATAGGATGTTGCTATGCAGAAGTGATATGTAGATCTGCCTGTTTTTCTGTTGACTGATTATATGTTTATCTATTATGTATATGTCGACATGTTATTGTTTTTGTTTGAGGCTTTACTGCTTTATGTGTGAGTCAATAGACCGGGGTATTCTAGTCCAATGACTTATTGGGCCCGAGGGTATTCCAGTCCGATGACTGAGTGGACTCGTTATATATTGGCATTCCAATCTGATGACTGATTGGGCCGAGGGTATTCTAGTTCGATGACTGAGTGGACCCGCTGTATGCTGGCATTCCAGTCTGATGACTGATTGGGCCAAGGGTATTCCAGTCCGATGACTGAGTGGACCCGTTGTATATTGGCATTCCAGTCTGATGACTGATTGGGTCGCGGGTAATCCAGCCTGATGGTTGTAGACCCGTGGGTATTCTAGTCCATTGACTGATTGTGTGGTGGTACTTTGGGGGAACTCACTAGGCATCGTACTTATGGTTTCAGTTTATTGTTTCAGGTACTCCAAAGGATCGTGGGAAAGCGAAGGTGTGATCGTGCACATCTTCCTGTTTTTATGACATTGGATCTTAGGAGACTCTGATTTTAAATAATGTTTTGGAAACAATGGTTTTGTAAACACTTCATTTTAGTAAATGGGTTGTTTTGAAAAGGTTAAATTTGTTGTGATTTTTGAGATGTTACAATAAACCCCATGGTTGTTTGGTCGGGTTAAAATAAACTCCATGGTTGGCCCATTATTGCATGTTCGGGTTGAAACATACCCCAAGGTTGGGCTCATGATTGTATGTTGGGTTGGAATTTACCTTAGGGATGGGCCCACTGATTAGTATGATATGTTGTATTTTTTAGGAACTCACTAAACTTTGTGCTTACAGTTTTATGTTTATGGTTTCAGGTACTTTCGGTACTAAAGGGAATGGCCCAATGTGATCACACGACATCCCCCTTTTTATGATTCTGCACTTATTTCTATTTTACTCTAATGATTGTGATACACTATTTGTGATGGATTTTGGTGACACTGATTGTATGATTGATGATTTTCAATCAGAAAAAAAAAATTATCTCTGTTTTTCGGACGTTACAGTAACTAAAAACACAAATATATTGTTTAAAATATATGACTAAATATGACAATATCATGCACCAAATCCAACGATGATAATTTCACACTCAATCTTGTGAAGGCTACAGACATACCACAACATTGTATTGGTAAAGAGGACTCAAAACTTTTCCTATGTTGGTGAAGTTGACCATAAAAGCATAAAAACATACACACAAAAAACATAAAAAAAATACATATTTTATCATAATAAAAATAACGATATAAACATAAAGACATAAACACATTAAACAAAAAACCATAAAGAAATGAGCATAAAAACATAAAAGGATACAAACAAAAAATAATAATAATGAAAAACAGATAAAATCATCTATCTTCTTTTCTTATGAATTGAAATTCCGAATAGTCATACCAGAATTTTGTTTTCTCTTTATCAACCGATAAATTAATTAATGCATTTTTTAACATTTCCCAAAACTCATACTCTACAATCTCATGCTCACATTTAGTTTTTTTTGTCCAATGCTTAGCGGCTTGAATTTGTTTCTTCATATCCACTATCCCCTTTTTATTGTGTTCAATGTCTTTTAACTTGCCATATAATTTTTCGCACTGTGCTTCTTTGCCTTCTAACATCTTCCTCCCACGACATTAGCTCATTGTTGGACCTTTATGGACCGCTTGTGCTGGGAATGAATTTCAACGAGTCGGAAGACAGTTTCAGAGAGATGGTTAATGGCTTTTTGGTGTGAATTATGTTAACATCTAAACTAATTTTAGTAGATTATTAATATGAAAGTGTGTGGGAAATCTAATTATTTTGACTGGTACGTGAAAATTGATAACTAGTTAGGTGCTGTTAGTGGGATAATAATGTGATATATGAGGATAAGCATTTGATGTTTCAATTTAATATACTATAAACATTTAAAGTCTCCTAACTTTGAAATTGGACATTTACTTTCTAATTGAAAATACCTAAATGGACACTCCATAATGTCATTCCGGTATCAACCAACTCTTAAAAATCATAGGAGTTTTTTTCTTTAAGAAAACTATGACAATCCCAGATTCCGGACTCAACTCCAGAATACAATGTTCCGTAGAAAATAATTATTTTGCAAAAAAAAAAAAAAAAAAAAAAAAAACTTTCTTATATTTACTTATGAACTCGTTTATAAGAGTTAATTTAATTAATTTTCCAATTAAAACGAAACCTACTTAAATCATCTAACCCTAGAAACCCCTCCGGCCGGCTCCTAAAATTCTTCAGCGGTAATCGTCCGTGGATGTTCATCTTGCTCTCAGTTTATTGTTCCTCTTCATCGACGAGTGAGTTTGTTACTAGTTAATTATCCTTTAAAGCAATATTATGTTTGCTATTAATTTATGCCATGATATAATTTGCTTAGGTTTTAACTTTTACTTTTACTTCAGTAATTTGTACCACCAACAGTAATACGAGATATTGCGATCTGTAAATAGCATACGAAGGAAGGTTTGCAGTTAAACGTCTTAATTTCTGAAGTACATAAACTTTTCATTTGAATATTTGTAGTGGATATCGAAATAAATGTATTGACTAATGTAGAATCAAGTTTTGCAAATAGAGATTCCATTGGACAAATTCTTGGTTATTTTGCCAATTCCTAAGCTTCTACCTCAAAAAGGGTATTTTACATTAGAGGAATTTGCTTAAAATTTCTTGAGAACATTCTTCAAATAACCTTCTTAAACCACAAGGACATGACATACATCTTGTCGTGGACTTCTATCATTCTATGTTCTTTTAGTGGTTCAAAGTCTAAACCTTCCAACTTGATGCAGATTTTCTAGTCTAGAAAGAAAGAGATTAGATGTCTTTTTGCCTATTTATCATCAACAGGATATCTGCCACCTATCTTTTTCCATGATAAATCCTCCATTGATTGTTTGTGTTTACTTGATAAAACCTTCTTCTTCTTCCTCATTATCCAATTTATTCTTCCACTTCCTTTTAGTGAGTGATATGTGTAATCATTGATACCTCTTTACTCTATAGTTTTACATTTCTCGCTTGTTGAAATTTATGCCCTTATGGCATGATGATAATCCTATTAGCCTTTGAGTCTGGTTGAAGGTGTGATTTTTGCCAATATTTTTAGGTAATTTAATGGTTTTTATTAATTTATTGTTCCATAAACATGATTCGTGATATATATATGGCACGTTCAATAGCATCAACGGATAATTAGAATAGAAATCAGGATTTACAGCTAAACGTATTTATCTTAAAATTTTAAAGTTGATTTACAAGTAGTAAATATGTTAACTTTATTATGCACCCCGCAAGTCGTTTTTCTTCATGGATTAACCAACATGCATTGACCTCTTTGATCTCTCTTCATTCACTGCTTAACTATCAACTCTCTAGTAAATTAAGTATACCCCATTTTTTTTTAATTCCGTATATACCCAAAATTAGTTCACCTAATTACTTGTTGGATCAAAACAGCATTTGTTAAGTGCTTGATCAAAGCACTAGTAATGAATCCTAATTATATTTTTTCTAATATTTTTGATTGCATGCTTTTACGACTGAATTTTCATCTCTTTGGAAAATTTGCAGGTGTACACAATGTCAGATTATCTCAACGAAGAGTTGATTTTTGAAATTTTCATAAGACTACCACCCAAATCCCTCCTCAGGTTTCGATCACTCTCCAAATCATTATGTTCTTTTATTTCCAGCCCCCATTTCATCCGCATGCACACTTTTCGATCCCCTAAAAAACTCCTCATCCAACACCAAACTTATGATAATGAAGACTTTTATACTTTACATTCAGAAGACCAAATTCCATTAAATCCCAGACGTGGATACATTCGTACAACACCAGTAAAGGCTCCATACCTCAAATATTCCATTATTGTTGGTACATGTAATGGCATTTTCTGTCTGTTTGATTATCAAGAAAACCATATTAGTCTTTGGAACTTTTCAATTAGACGCAAGATAACCCTGCCTGATTGTCCTTCGAGATGCTTTTCTGGGGTACAGATTGGGTTTGGTTTTGACCCAATCACCAATGATTACAAGATTGTTAAATTACCCACATACGGAGGAAAAGAAGAAAGTTCATTTGTTTACACTATTAAGACAAACGCATGGTCTGAGATTGCTTCCCCTACTCCTACTTTTCATGAGGTGTTATTAAATGCGTGTTTTGTCAATGGGGTTTTACATTGGGTTGTAGAACGTCATTATAATAATTTACATGACGTAGAGCGTTTTTATATACTGAAATTCGATTTGGGCACTCTTGTTTTTGACATGATCACGTTGCCAGAACCCAGCAGCAAAACAGCAGGACTAACAAGTGTACGAGGTTCTCTAGCTGTGATTTCTGGGGATTGTGATGGTAGTTGGATTTGGGTGAGGAGGGATGCTTCTTGGAATGTGGTTTATAAAATGAAAAGAAAGCATTTATTTGATGGAGGATTATTGAGTGTTGTGCAATTCACCACTAATGGTGATTTGTTGTTGTTGTGTGAGGGGTTCCAGATTTATAATCCTAAGATTGGGGTTCCATTAAGATTAGTTGACTTCAGTTACCATTCTTTCATAGTTGGCACGGAAATTTGTGTTGAAACCCTTCAATTGTTTGACGTGGCGACTGCAACTTCTTGATCATTCTCATTGTTACTTCAGCGAATTGTTTCTTTAGTTTGTTTCATGTCCTCTTCATCTTTTGTTAATTAATCTCGGGTTAATGTCAATCTAACCTTACAAACTTTTCCCATTTTTTTTGAAAGGTCGGTGATTTTTTTTTTTTTTTTTTTTTGTATTCTAGGTTGTTAAACTTGTTGGTAACCTATTAATTACACCTTTGCACTTGATTTTATATGTTGTTTTATATGTTGCTGAGATGACTTTTCATTTTATTTGGCAAATTGGACTTATGTTACCAACTTGTGGCATCCACATGTACTAATATTCAATTTTAATTGTATTATTCTTTAAAACTAGTTTCTATATGTATTTATTGTTCTATATTATTATTCTCACATATTCGATGATGAATTCCATGATCCAGCTCCGTTGGTGTTGTATTCTCCTTTGATGTTATGATATTCCTTGTTTTATGAACACCATATTCAAATTGAGGTTTTGAATCTACATTAAGTCTTATTGAACTAGATCTCCCCAACAATGGCGTCACCACTGATTCCAGGAAGAAACGAAGGAAAGCTGACAATGTAATCCCACCTGTAAATTTCTTTATTCCTAACGCCAAAACCAACATAAACAAAACCTTCAATGCAGCCAACGATATCGGATTCAACTTTTCCATTTCATCCCTCTTTTCAACTTCCGATTTGGTAGGATTCTCAATCTTGATTTTACCTTCGCACGAAACTATACTCTCAACAACAAAACCATCTTAAATAATTTCATAACTTCTTGTATAATCCAAATTACCAGACGAAATATTATTGGGATCTACCAACAAACCTGATGATGAAAACGACCGCAATTCGTGATGTAGATATCAATAAGAGGAAAACGTGAGGATATCAAATATGATAATTTATGATCAACTTTGGCATGAATTAACATCAATCCAGACCAAATAATGTAGATCACTCGGATGTCTGTGTCTACCAAAAGTATGTCTGTGTCTACAAAAAGTCAAATTTTGAACAGTTAAAAACCAGATATACACAGAGAAACCAGGAACTGTTCCCATTCTTTTTGCATCTGTGTAGCACTGGTCGTGTTGATGCTTGTGTATGCGTGGTTTAGTTGCAGGGAGGAGGAGAATCGATTTAACCTTCCAAGAACCCTAAATGACTTTTATTAGTGTATACACATGGACATCATGGAAAATTGTATCGTGTGAAAAGAATTATATCTGTAGATATTATTAAGAATTTAAAGATAATTTAAATTATTAAGCAAATCTAGACCATTTACTTGGAAGAATAGCCAATAAAACCTGATTTGAAAATGAAATCATAACGAGTCATTCTTCAGTTTAATTTTTTATGTTTTTTTTTTTTTTTTTGCTTTAATTTCATTACTAAAACTGAAAATATGAAATTTAATTGTATCATTAACCTAAACCTTTTTAACTGAGACTAGAAGAACATGTCTGAGTTGGACTGGAGATGGATATAAAGGTAAAACTTTTGCATATTTTCTTATTGTTTTGAATGCTCATATATAAATATTATTGTTGATGTTTGTTGTAGTTATAGCTATTGATGGGATGTTATTAACGAAAGCTGGTACCATGACTGGTGATACAAGTTGTGGAATGGTAGAAAAGTCACTTAAATGAGATGATGAGAAATTAGAATGACGTTTGCATTACTGCATATGCTTTACAATCCAAGATCCCAAGATGCTATTGAAAGTGATGACCTTCAATTTTTGGAATGGCACAAAGGATGAGGAATGTTTCACAAACTGGCAGACATTGATCCCACTCAATTAACAGATTTTGGTGCAGTAGTCCATCATTCATGGTCTCTTGTGGGTGGTAATGTTCATGTAGGATCAGGAGCTGTAATCGGGCCCAATGTCACAATTGGTCAATCCACGAACATAGGGTATAATTAAATTTGAATTATTAATTTCACTTTTTCAATCTTTTCTAATGAAATGTAGTATTAATTTAGTTCCTTATGTTTCGTTAGTTATAATGTTGCACTTGCTAATTACACGATTGGTGAGTCATGTGCCATCCATCATGGAGTCTGCATTGTTGAAGATGCCAATTAAGATCAATTTCACTGAACAAAATGTAGTAATCTGCATTCGTTCCCAATAATAGTGTCTTTCATTTTTCACATTTCATTTGTAATTTTTTCTAGTTTTTTTATTTTTCTTAATATTCAGGCTCTGAAAGCTTTCATAGAATAACATTGAGATTGGTGCAAATTCATGCATTGACAGAGGTTGGTGAGCTTATGTTGTTTTCTTTTTACAAGTTAATACACTCTGAGCCTTGAGGTTTCTAATTATACAAAATGACATATCTACCCTTTGTGCAGTTGGAGGGATGATAATATTTTGAAAAAAACGGTTTCCAATTTTTGTTTATGCCAACTTACAGTTTGATGAACAACATGATGAAATAAACACGATTTTCGTAACTTTTTAAACCGTTTTATTGTTTTGTAGATCTCTCGAGATGGTGAAATAACCGGATCTCATCATTTTAAGCCTATCAGGTTTTTGCGAGGTAGAGTAATGTCTGAATGTATACATTGACTTTTCCAATATCTATTATAACCAATTTGTTTACTATTTTCCCCAATTAATTCTATCCTATCATTGCAAAATAATCGATACGGGAGAATACAGTTTCGGTTCTATTTTCCAAAGGTTTTCACCATGAATAACTGAATTGCTTGGTCTTAGTGTTCATTTGGTTGAACTAAAAGATACGGGTGAACTTTTTGCCATGAAAGTTGGCAGTAATGATAAACCGTAACAAGGTATGTCTGTAAAATAATATTCCTTTTTTTATATTATGATTTCAAATTTTTAGACTTTTTGAAACTTGATTTTTGTTATATAAATAACCGATGTTGTAACTTGATTTTAATTATGGTATTATCATCATAAGTTGTACTCGAGTAGATAAAAATGACAAGTGGTATAAGTTCCATAGGTCATACTTTAGATTTTTTTTCATGCTTGACTTTCATATTTCTTTAAAGTGCACACAAATACAGCAACCTGCAGTAACATTTCTTTTAGAATAGACCATCATTTTATCAATTTTTTTAAACGTAGCATTTCCATTTTTTGGAAAATAAGATGGAACTCTGTTTGTGGATAAAGGGTACATTCAAACACCATTTACTTCAAGATAGATGAGGGTGAGTGGAATTATATTTGTGATGGTGGTAAGATAAGCATTTCTCATTTGATCTACTTATTATAGGTTGTGTTCCTTTAAAAAAGATGCACACTTCTGTTAAATATCTAAATTACGAAGACATTATCAGTTGAGATGATGATTTTGTTTGTAAATTGTAATTAATGATGTTTAACTTTTGTGAACAACAGGTCTTAATTTTCTCTCAGTGGACTAAAATCTAGGATATAATGCATTTCTACTTCGGTTTGAAGACTTTTAACAAAATTGAAATGGAAGAAGTCAAAAAATTCAACAGTACTTTTGGGATTAAAAGCTATCTCAAAGGTCCACAAGATGTATAGAAGATAAAAACGAACTGTAAAGGGTACATAAAAATGTTGATTTAGTAAATGTGGCTTTTTTGTATATGATTATGAACTAAACTTTTATAAACCTTTGTTCAAATGTTCATTTGTAAACCGATAGAAAAAAAATATGATTATGATAATAGAATACTTATACTTAAATGATTTTTAGTTACTTATATTATATGTATTTTTTTAAATCAAATTTTAGCTTAATTGTGGTTCATTTAGGACAAGAAAACAAACCATATTGGTTTTACAGCAAAAAAACTAGAAACTTAGCATTTCAATTAAGGATTTTGACTAAATGTACCTCAATAAAATCTTCCCGTTTTGTCCATTTCTCTGGCGTATCCAACCCCGCAAAGCGGGGTTCATCCATAGTTGCAAATAAAAGCAAGAGGATGAAGAGGACACGGTGAGTTTCTTTCCTTGACATGAGAAAAGGAAAATATCAACTTTATGTCCTTAAAATATCAATAAATATATTCGTATTGATCATGAAATGGAAACTAATGGTTGGAGTACGAAATTTTATAAATGAAGTTTAAGGTTCAACTTTGTGCGCCTAATATATTATTAATTCTCTACGATTTACCCTGGGGCTCCATGGAGTGGGGATCGGCACACCTCGGCTTATCCGACACGGCTTCGGCGAACACAGCCATGACTTCAGGGGCGACTGATCGGCAAGGCAATTCGGCGAAGGGTTACCGATGAGAGAGAAGGAAGTTAATGCAATTTTCTTTTTTTTTTCTTTTTTTAACCATTTATTCCATTTTCTCATTTTCAAAAAAAAAAAAAATACTCAATTTTCAAAATATAATCTTTTTTTGAACAAAATTTCAAATTTTAAAAACTCTTAATAACATTGATCTTCATTCTTCACTACATTTAAATCTTTTCCACTCTACTCTCCGAACCTTTTATTTTCCATCTTCTTCAAAACTTCCTCACTAAAAGTCGCTCGTGTTTGGTCACCTGAAGAAGAGATCTTACTTGCTTGTTTCATAGGTTGATGTAACAGAAGACTCGATCAACATTAACCTCTCTACGACTACATTTTGGAAGAGAGTGTCGATATTTACAACCGCCAAGCCGCTCTTCCTCAGAGTAAAGATCAAACCTTCTCCAAATGGAGACATGAAAACACACTTTCAATTCAGTTTAACAATAGGTTTTGTAGGGTGTTAACGTATCCCTCAGCAAAAACGTTAAAGAAGAAAAGTCAAACTAGCGCCAAGCTTGGCCTAGTTAGAGTTTGGTCATACCCAGTCTGAGGCAAAGGTCGGGCCTTTGCCTGTATGGACTCACTGGTATGGCGGTTAAGGGGAATAACTGCGCCTTACCATCTTCTCCCCAGGAGAAATACCCTGACAAATGTGGAGCCAATCAGAGAGCTCCACTTGCCTATCTGACGACAGCCACGATCATCATTATATCAAAGATTCCCCTCTAGCCAATGAGGGAACGAGATAGAAAGATGTGATGGTCGATCCTTCAATACAGATCCACCACGTCTCGTCTCACGAGGGAAGGCTCAACAGAATCAGTTAGGAGGCACGTGCCTCTCGATCAGTTATAAAAGAACCATTCTTCCCTACGGAGAAGGGGACTAGACTCTTTTTCTCTCAGACATTCTCTATCTTCTCTCGGAATCAATTCTAACTTGATCGTCGGAGCTTTGTCCTGGGAACCACTCTCAGACGTTGTCTAACTATCATCTCTTTTCTTTGTACTATGATATCAGGAGAAGGAACCAACTCGACACCCACCCTTGATCTCAATCCTACCATCTCCGACATATCACAACATTTGGCGTCATACAGACGTATCTCCAGAATGATACATCCACGAAGCAAAACCGAAGAGCAAAGATGACAGGTGAAATTTCGGCGATGTCGGGGGCAGTGGAGAAATGCCCAGTGCGTCCAATGCAGCCATTAGACGAAGGGCAAGTTTCCATCCAGGAAGAACACGCGTCAAATCGCACTCCAGTCTCACAGATACCATCCAACTGTGGCAACCTACATAACCTACATAGGAAGAACACGCGTCAAATCTGCAGTTGAAACGGTGGCAACCTACATAGCCAGTCTATGGCGTCCAATAGTTAACCCATCTCAGCAAGTAGCAAGCGTAACCAAAAGTCCACAGATTGTCGCAACACAGCAAACAGAGATACATGTTTCTCAGCAACAATCGTTTCCACACAGTTCGAGCATCGGAACTTGGATCCCTCACATTATTCATCGGTGATCTACCCACACACCACCATGGCAGGCATGCCCCACATGCCGCTATTGATACAGCAACCATCGGTGTTCAACCCGTTCGTACAACGGGCTCAAGGTCCAATCCCAGAAGTGTCTCAGCCGCAAGTTACAGGCGCGCAGACCTCGATCAAACAGGGATCAAACTCCTACAGACCTGGCGTCCATTTCTCAGCAGCACCAGAATTCACCCCTTTCATGGCGACTGCTCAACCATTCAACCCGTCTGCACAATAGTGCATGGGAGCAAACCCATACATAGCTCACCCAACAGGTCAATACGCATTTCAACAATTTGGGTCACAGACAAACTTGCAACAATATCAACTATACTTCTCGCCGACAGCCATGTACAACCAGATGTACGCGAACCCCTACTAGGGGCAACAGCATATTGCCTATGGTGGTATGCCGCACTCGTACATGGACAGCCCCATGCGAAGTGCAAGCTCTAATTTCAGCCATGAACTACTACAATATGATATCCCACATACTACGATGATACTGAACATGCCGAAATACGACGACACTTCTGACCCAGATGACCACATCGACAACTACGAGTGGACGATGACATCTCTTAAGATGAATCGTCGCTTCACCTGCACCTATTTTCCGTATACCCTAACAGGAAACACAGGAAAATGGTTCAAGTCTCTGAGACCAGGTAGTATTTCGAATGTTGAGCAACTGAAGTGTCTTTTCCTCAACAACTTCATGCAGTTGAAGAAAGGAAAAGGGGACACCAACTTTGTGATGGCATGTAAGAAAAGAGAAGGAGATTCGATTTGTGCCTACTACGATCGATTCACGTTAGCTACCTTGAACGTCCCAGGACATGAAGAGTTCCTGGTGATGGACGCCTTTGCTCAAGGTTTGCTTCTGGGGCCCCTATCTAAGAAGATGCAAGGGACAGTCCCTAGATCCAGGGACGAGCTCAAGTTACAAATGGAAAAATAAATTAGACAAATTAAAGGAGAAAAGCGAAAGGAGGCCAATCTCAAAGTCGTAGCCAACGCGTACATCAAACAGGAAGAGGCGGCATCCCGGCCAAGTTCAACTCAGGGGGAGAGGCAAGAGGGTAACCAACAGAAACACAATCGCCACTCTAGACACATGTCAAGGAGGTACAGGCCGTTCAACAAAGATGAAAACAGGAATGGTCATGCAGATGTCCATGCAATCAACAAAACTCCATCAAAGGAGAGCAAGGACAAGGCCAATTTCTGTGAGTAACACAAGAGCAAAACTCGTGATACCACCGAATGCACGGTG